GCGCTCCTCGAACCCGCTGCCCCCCCAGGCAACCTACCGGCTTGCCAGAGGAGAGGTTTTGGCAAGGAAGCTGCATCAAATCACAGCTGCGGTTGGGATGTGGTTTCAATACTTTCCCCTTCATTCCTCCTCCTCCCCAGGTTATATCAAACATCTACTCGAATCAAGAGCCACTCAACTGCTGCCGCAAGAGATGCAACGGCGTTACCAGAAGCATCGCCTCGGCCGCGCCACTGCCCAGCAGACCCCACCACAGGCTGCCGGGGTGCCAGGAACCTGCTGACTACCCTGACTTTCAATGGCCAAAGCGAGTTTGGTTATGACCTATCTGCAGCGAGAACCACAGGCCTGAAGCCTTCCGAGAGCCGAGCGAGTTTTCAGAATGACTCAGAGCCAACGTGGCTCCCGCCGTCCCTCCAACACCAGCCGTGCAGCACCTCTTCCAGAGCCTGCATCCCTACGGCTCGCAGGCTGCTTCCCCCCATACAGCATCTCCCTGGGGTCCCCAGCACCCCAGCAGCGCTGCAGGAAGGTGCTCACGCCTCTTTTTGGCATCACCCCATAGCCCCATGGTGTGTCTCCCGTGGGGGCTGTGGGTGCTCCTGTGGGTAGAGCCCACCCACAGGGGTGCCACCGGGGACTCACCACTCCATGACGATGAGCAGACACTTCCTCCCCTGGTAGAGGTTCTCGTAGACGTCCATGATGCGGACGATGTGCGCGCACTGCGATGCTCTCCAGTGCAGCTCCACTTCCCTGCGGGCCTTCGGGCAATCCTGCAGCATCTGCGAGAGAGGCAAGACCCCATCAGCCCTGAGCCCCCAGGAAAGCCGTGCTGTGCCACCCCGCTGGCGTGGTGCCTGCCCAGAGAAGACACTGGGGCCAAGGCCAAGTGCTCACCAGCGGCGTTGGGGCGAGCTCCGGCGCGCTCTGTGCAATGCCTCCACCCCCATCTAGTGGGAAGAGCGCGAAGCCGCCCGCCCTCATAAGCTTCTTGCCCTCCTTTCAAGGCTGGTAAAAGCTTATGCCAGCTGTCTGACACCTTCTTGCCCTCCCCAGTGCCCTGTGCCACCAACCCATAACACCCTGCTGCATTCAGAAACAAGCCCCTGCACACTGGTACCTCCACCACTGCACCCCTGGGTGACACCAAGCATCCTCGCTCTCCCCTTTGCAGCCCCCCCGCGGCAGCGTTGCCGATGTACAGGAGGTGATGGGTGGGCTTTCTGCTCCGTGGGACTGGCAGGACCCTTCTGCTCTGTGCCCGTACACAGGGACGAAGCAGAAAAGCACCCTCACTGCAGCATATCAGATGGCACCAGCACCCAGCCATGTGCGCCTGGGGAGGGGACAAAGCAAATAGCCAGATGTTCCCTAAATAGCAGCTTTTCTCACAGGCAGCAGCAGCTCTTTAATGAGGCCCTCGCCCTGCTCAGAGACAACTCAGTTCCCAGGTGCAGGAAGGATTTGCTCTTCTGCCACAGACTATTAATTACCATGTTTGTCAGGATAAACAACCAGCCTTAATTATTATACTCCTAAATATAGAACAACCACCACGTCTATCTTGAGCGCAGTTCATTTTCTTTCCTGTCTCCGGCAGCTCTTAAGGCCAAGCTTGTCGAAACACCCAGGAGCGGGTCCGCACCTCGGTGTGGCAGTGGGCAAGGGAACCTGGAAACGCATCCCACCCGCTGTGTGCATCATCAGGAAACAGTGGGCTTGATCATTTTAACATGACAGACACAGAAATGTACTTTGTGCCCCTCTGCCCTCTCCAGCCAAGCTCCTGGGACTGCTCAGCGAAGGACGGTGCCCAGACTGCAAGCAGAGGAGTGTCAGCCCCTGGGATGCTTCACTGGCCTGGCAGGACCTGAAACTGTGCCCAGTGCACGGCAAGGACCCCTCTGCCACAGCAGGGATGTCACAGGAACAAGGGTCTACGCTTGCTGCAACCCCAAAAGATGCACAATGCCTGTTTATACAGGAGATGCTCCCTGGCAGAGTAACAGCAATTTGCACCCCTGCTTGGCCTTTGCCACAGGGAAAGGGACAAATGGGATGCACACTTCAGCCACCCATCCGTAACGCTGTTACATGGGGTTTGATCATGCCTCTCCCACCTCCTAAGCTCTCCCACTTCCCGAGGCAGAGAAAACCCGTGCCAGTGGACGGGCTCCTGGTATCAAACCATCTGGAAACTCAGTGAAGACCAAGCCACCCTTTGCACAACCATCCGACACCATTTGCACCGACATCCTCAGGGCAAAAAGGAAGACGGGGCAGGAGGTTGGACAGCCCCTCCTTGCTCCTCTATTGCTCAATTACCCTAAAAACCGGATCCTGCCGAAGC